GTATAAAACTTGTGGGAATACAAAAACCGATAGCGAGGTTAAATTTTGAACGTACTGCGTCTCAAGGTCAGGACAGATGTTCCTCGTGCGATGAGCTAGCCACTAGGATATCGTCTAAGTAAACAAAACCAGTCTAAACCTCTACAAACTTTGTCAATGAATCTTTGGAAGGACTGTTTGGCGTTTCTTAAACCGAATGGCATTCGGAGGAATTCGAATAGACCAAACGGTGTGACTACGGCTGTTTTGGGAATATCGGCTTCTGCTACCGGGATCTGGTTGTATGCGCGAACCAGATCGATGCGGCTGAAAAGTGTTCTACCGGCTAGGTCTGACGTGAGATAGGTGATGCGGGAGATCGGGTTCCTATCCGGAGTTGTTCAAGGGAGTGGGAACGGATGGCATCCATTCCGCTACGGTTAAACCCATATCGGAGTTGCTCCAAGGGCCTCTGTCAAAACTGTTTCAGGTAGCTCTGGATAAAGCAAGATACCGGCAGATTGGAAAAGAGCGGCGGTAGTTGCTCTGCATAAATCTCGGTCAAAGCAAAAGGCCAAAAACTACAGACCAGTAAGTCTGACGTCGGTTCTATGCAAGTGCCTAGAAAGGATTGTACGGAAGNGAAGTATATGGCTGCGTACCTCGTAGGGCATGAGTTACTAACACCAGCTCAACATGGCTTTATTAAGAGGAAGTCTTGTCTATCAAATCTGCTTGCCTTCCTTGATGAAGTCGCACGACGCTTAGACGAGGTACAGCATGTCGAGGTCTGCTACCTGGACTTTAGCAAAGCTTTTAACATGGTAAGTCATCAGGGGTTAGACCAAAAGTGCAATTATTAGGAATTGGGGGGGGTTAGAAAGTGAGTATACTGCTTCATAACTAACCGCACCTTCAAGGTCAAGGTTGGTACGCAATTATCGGTGCCGGCTAACATCACTAGCGGTGTCCCTCGGGGTTCTGTGCTAGGCTCAATGCTATTCCTAATGTTCGTCAACGATCTGCCACGGGAAATCAACAGTCCGTGCTTTATGTTCGCGGACGAATTCAAAGTGGCGGGAACGAACGTATATGGTAGTGGCGTGGCATCCCAACTATTGGGATTTCAAAAAACGATAGATTTTTAATTGTATTTTAGAAAAAGCGATGTCGAATTTAGCCGAAATAGAACAGATTTTGCTTTTAGATGATTCTGAGTGATTTGTTAAAATTTAATTTGTTTTAATCAACCTTAATTGACTTTGTCCGGAAAGTATAAATACCGCAACCTAATGGCGACGATCACTTCCACGCTCATATCAACCATGGTTCATGTTGACGATACGGTCGTTTTTGAACGCATAGTAAAAAATTGCTATGGATCGTTGGACGGATTCTTGGAGGACTTTCGTGAATTCCAAAGAGTTACTTGCACTTCCTCTACGTTTATGCGTCAATGACAGCCGAACAACTGATACGGGAAAGAAAGTTTGGTCGGAAAATGACTCTGCCCGAGGGTTTTCCGTACTATTCCATCAAATATTGCTGTGTACATCACAGAAGGCGCGGCGCAACTGCAACCAGGTAATTATGCCTCTCATTTCTAATGTATTTAACCCATTTTAGGCTGCAGAATATCTATTGTCCGGCATTCGTTGGAATTCGCGCGGTCGGGAGGGAGTATCGAGTGACGAAACGTTGTCTGGTGCACAACCATGACTTCCATTTGGGTCAGCGGGGGCTGTATGTAAGTAATCGTCGTCTATCTGGGGAACAGGAAGAGGAAGTGTGTACTTTGATGGACGATTTTAGAAGTACTCGCGAGCTAAGGGATTTCGCCACACACAGGTTCCAGAGACCCTTAACTACGGCAGATATAAGATCCATACGTCGAAGAAGGTCTCAATCGGATTCGCGTGGCGATGCGGTGAAAGTTAGGGATATGCTGGAGAATCAGGGAGAGGTTAGGATAGGGCTGAACGAAGGCGTCGTTCGTCACATTTATTTTGTTCCTAAGATTATGTTGCACTGCATTGCCAGGTTTAGTGATGTTTTGTTAGCTGACGCCACACATCAGCTAAATTGTGGCGGGTACGTGCTTTGGCATGCTATGCTTGTAGATGACACCGGTTTAGGTAGAAGTTTCTTCTACGCTATCTTGCCGAATGAGAGCGGTGAGAGCTATAGATCTGCTGTGGGAGCCATGAAATCTATGTGCCCAGTCTTCGCACAATGCAAGACTATAGTAGTTGATCGTAGCTTGGCTCAGTATAACGCGTTTTCAGAATATTTTCCGTCATCTAACGTGATATTTTGTCGTTTCCATCTCGTTAAGGATATGAAGAAGAAATGTAACCAGCTATCTGGTATGCCAACGTCCGAAAAGCAGCGCATCTTTCAATGGATGCGCAACATGGTGTACTGTGATAGTGAGGTATCGTTTTGTAGATTCCTAGCCGCCGTAGAAAGTCGTAGCACAGAAGCAGGTGCTTATTTACGCCGAACATGGTTACCATACCGAGAGCAGTGGGCAGGGTATGCCGTGAGGACTAGGTTGACTTTAGGGAACCTAACTACCAACCGGGTAGAGACGGAAAATAGGCACCTCAAAACAGGCTTATCTCCTCGATCTTCATTAGTGGATGTATTTAAGAAAGTGCTACAACGAGTAAGGTCACTGGAAGTGACGCACGGAATCCGCCTCGCTAAAGATTCCATGAGGGGGTATCCGACACCCAGCGGCATGCAGTCGTTTAAACCGTTGCTCATACGAGTAACACCATTTGCGCGGAATATTTTATTAGGTAACTGGAAGTTATGTAAGATTCAACGAATTGTTCACGAAAGAGGGTTTTTCATGGTTGTGGATAGTAAGGGCAAGGGTTATAAAGTAGTTACTGCAGGGGAAACGAAGTGCGAGTGTTACTTCTATGCGCAATGGTTGTTGCCCTGCTTGCATATAGCAAGGGTATTCGATCTGATTAATTGGGATATTCAAGGTCTTATTCCAGATAGGTGGATTATAAACCACAGCGAAAAGCATGNCATTTTAGGCTGCAGAATATCTATTGTCCGGCATTCGTTGGAATTCGCGCGGTCGAGAGGGAGTATCGAGTGATGAAGCGTTGTCTGGTGCACAACCATGACTTCCATGTGGGTCAGCGGGGGCTGTACATAAGTAATCGTCGTCTATCTGGGGAACAGGAAGAAGAGGTGTGTACTTTGATGGACGATTTTAGAAGTACTCGCGAGCTAAGGGATTTCGCCACACACAGGTTCCAGAGACCCTTAACTACGGCAGATATAAGATCCATACGTCGAAGAAGGTCTCAATCGGATTCGCGTGGCGATGCGGTGAAAGTTAGGGATATGCTGGAGAATCAGGGAGAGGTTAGGATAGGGCTGAACGAAGGCGTCGTTCGTCACATTTATTTTGTTCCTAAGATTATGTTGCACTGCATTGCCAGGTTTAGTGATGTTTTGTTAGCTGACGCCACACATCAGCTAAATTGTGGCGGGTACGTGCTTTGGCATGCTATGCTTGTAGATGACACCGGTTTAGGTAGAAGTTTCTTCTACGCTATCTTGCCGAATGAGAGCGGTGAGAGCTATAGATCTGCTGTGGGAGCCATGAAATCTATGTGCCCAGTCTTCGCACAATGCAAGACTATAGTAGTTGATCGTAGCTTGGCTCAGTATAACGCGTTTTCAGAATATTTTCCGTCATCTAACGTGATATTTTGTCGTTTCCATCTCGTTAAGGATATGAAGAAGAAATGTAACCAGCTATCTGGTATGCCAACGTCCGAAAAGCAGCGCATCTTTCAATGGATGCGCAACATGGTGTACTGTGATAGTGAGGTATCGTTTTGTAGATTCCTAGCCGCCGTAGAAAGTCGTAGCACAGAAGCAGGTGCTTATTTACGCCGAACTTGGTGACAATACCAAGAGCAGTGGGCAGGGTATGCCGTGAGGAATAGGTTGACTTTAGGGAACCTAACTACCAACCGAGTAGAGACGAAAGTAGACACCTCAAAACAGGCGTATCTCCTCGATCTTCATTAGTGGATGTATTTAAGAAAGTGCTACAACGAGTAAGGTCACTGGAAGTGACGCATGGAATTCGCCTAGCTGAAGATTCCATGAGGGGATATCCGACACCCATCGGCATGCAGTCGTTTAAACCGTTGCTCATACGAGTAACACCATTTGCGCGGAATATTTTATTAAGTAACTGGAACCTATGTAAGATTGAACGAATTGTTCACTAGAGAGGGTTTTTCATAGTTGTGGATAGTAAGGGCAAGGGTTATAAAGTAGTTACTGCAGGGGAAACAAAGTGCGAGTGTTATTTCTATGCGCAATGGTTGTTGCCCTGCTTGCATATAGCTAGGGTATTCGATCTGATTATTTGGGATATTCAAAGTCTTATTCCACCTATCCACCTATCTGGAGATAGGTGGATTATAAACCATAGCGAAAAGCATTCAGATCAGAACTCCACTGTGGTAATCGCGGACTCAAGAAACGTCTTGAGTAAGCCATCAAAGTTAGCTCAAACGGAGGATGTCCTTCAAGACCTGGACGTCTCTTTGAATAGTCTAGGTACAGTGAATTACAATTTTCAATGCAATCAACCTCGACGTGTGGCAGCTATGATAGGGAAGTATCCGGACATCCAGATATTATTTGATAGACAGAGCTTGGCGACACAGACTACAGAGATTAAGCGTACCTGTCTTCCGTCTACGATCGTCAAGGTGAGAACCTATAATCCACCTGTAGCTTCAACAAGCGATTCGATTGAAAAGCGGAAATCAGTTTTGGTGAGCCGACCAGTCGACAGTGAGGACGACGAAATAGTCATAGGTGACCCACTGGAGCATGCGGTGTTCCGAAGACTGACAACAACGACATCATCGAAGTACGAACTGGACGCTAAACGCAGAAGGCAAACCAATCCGGCATCACCGATGAAGGCCAATTGTTGCAGTGTCTGCAAATCTGCATGGAATACGGTCGATTTGGACGATGAGCAACAATGGATCTAGTGCCAGAAATGCGGGCGCCGAACACACAGCAGTTGCGCTGCTTACAATGGANCGATGAGTGTGGACGTCAAAAGCCCAAAGTGACTGAAAACGGCCCTTTTAGGGCCACGCCAGTTTGATTTATTTGTCTTGGGATTATGAATTCCGTTCAGGGACCAACATATTGGTATAGATTCCACTTGAGATCCGATTTTGTGGAGACATTGTATACTTCGTTGTCGAGCGAATTTTAAGGAGAAATGAACTGTGGGTGTGAGAAAATTGCCCCATTAGACAACGGGGACGCCATTTGGAGAGTTTCAGGCTGACGAAGTAATGACAGACACCATCGTGATAATCAGTCAGTTTTATTGGGTGTTCTTCGATGA